AAATAACAAGTTATTGCCTCTTTAATATATAAATAATATCTTTTACTAAAAATAAAATTCTCCTGAAATCCGCTCTCACCACCCAAGAAATAATAAAAGAAGTCAACTCCAACCGAAAAACAGTTCACAAAAAAACACGATTTATTTCTCTTTGGAAAAAGACCGCCGAAATTACCTCTGAAAATATTTGCCACCCTCTGCGTGACTCTTTTTCTCTCGGTCTATCTCTGCAATAATTTTTTGAGCCTCCACACACTCGTATTGGAATTTTGATTACGCTTAATTGGCCACAAGAGTCAGCGGAGAGCGCACGACTCTATTTTTCGGCCGCGGCAAAAGGTGAAAACTTTTCAATGCTCCTCTCTCAATTACACACATTTTCTCACCTGCAGTTGATTCGACTTGTAGAAGTCGCGCTCTTTAAAAGTACAAAGGAGAGGCGCTCTTATAACATCACTTTTGCTCTCATCACGAGCGAGAGCCTAAACATGGGAAGTCGTCGTTTTCCAAGTGGACTCGAGCGAAACAACCTGCCTATTTTCAAAAGGGTTCAAGTGGCAACACTTCTTCACAAAAAATGCACTTGAAACCCTCCAAAGAAAAGTGTGAACACAATAAATCTAATTTTTTTTTTGTATTTGAGATGCTAAAAACTATTCAATTCTAAAACGCAAATACGAAATAGACGAAAAGAGAAATTTTAAATTAATTAATTAACATAATTTTCAATTTTTTCCTTTTCCACACTTTAGATTAGATATAAAAGTAATCATTTCATCCTGCGTATTGTAGAGTGATTAAACGTAAGTGGTTGAAATCGTTACTTTTTTACTAAAATAATAAAACATTTAATGTAATTGTTAATAAATATATAATATTTTCTGTAGCAGATCATTCAAGTCACTTACTTTATTATAAACATAAGGAACTGATAGAAATTTAAAAATACCAAAAATAATTTTATCTCGCTATAAAAATATTAAATTTCATTGATTGCACTTTTAACCATATTGAGTAGGTACAATCAACAAAAATCGAGTGTTTTCCGCTAGTACATAATAAGATGATGATTTTGATTATTTAATAATAAATATATTAAAAAAATTTCATTTAAAATAAACGATATTATTAATAATTTCACTTTGAATTTGAAATCTTCCGTCATTTAAATTGTAAATCTTTTTCTCAGAATTAATTTGCAAATTTTAAAAGTTACCACAATAATTAGAAATGCTTTTCAGCGGCTTTGTTATGGATTCTATAAACATTCAAAACTTTCATGTTTTTCTGGATCTCTGCGACTTTCCATCAAGATTTTTCCCTTCCCTAGTTAAGAAAATGTGATTTTTTCTTTATTCATTGCAAAATTAGTTTCACTTTTCATTATTGAAAATGAAATGCCAGAGCGTGCTCAAAAAAGGTTGCTCTTCCCTTCAAGTATCAGGCTGTGTTGAAAGGGTCAGTGCCACAGGGCGCATTGACACGCGCTATTCACACAACCGGATCGCGTGCACACCATCATCGCGAAAATCTATACCATCCGACCGACTGACTGACAACCACAATCACAAACTCTGCTCTTTCCAACTCTCCGCGCGCCGACGGTGAACAAAATGAAAAAAAGAATAAACACACACTCTCGCGCGCCCCGGCCTGCTGATAAATAAAACCAACACCCGACGATCGAAAGCTTTCGGGTCTGATTTTTTGATGTGATATTCGTGTGTTGTTTTTATAATAGTTGCATGAGCAAACATAGAGAAAAATAGAATCAAGAGCGAACACGACAGACACACACGGGTCGTAAAAAAATCAAACAGAGCCTCCGCGGGCGAAAACACGCTTCCTGATTAACTGCTTAATTGCGTGTGTGATTGCGCTCTCTCGTGCAGAGCATACTTTAATTCACGCGCGACATTTCGCCTTATTAATGGCACCCTTATCTCCAGAGTGGTCTTAAATTAACCAACCTAATTTTGAACTATCTGTCGGCTCGAAAATTATGAAAAGTACTCGTTATCACATTAATTCAAATAAGATTTTTGTTATTAATTTGACGTTTAAATTTTTGAAAACATTTTATACTGAGCATTTTGCTTTACAGCCACCGCGTCACGTTTAAATTAAATATGCTATTAATAAAATGAAATTCTGCGTGCTGATGTAAATTTATTTTTTAATTGCCGTTATACTGAGACTTAAGCAAAAAAGAAAGCTTTTTCAATTTTTATAATTTAATTTTGTTTTTATTTCCATAGAGTTAAATTGCTGCACTGTGAACTTAAATCCATTCTCAAAAGAAAAGTTCAACCTTATATATTACCAGCGTAAAATGTTTTGCTACACATTTTGACTTCAACTGATTTTTGTTTGCAATAATTTTATATTTCAGATCGCACTTTACTCCATTTTTATTTATTGTGAAGCCAAATTTTAAGCTTATTGCATATTTGCCAGCAACTCAAAATTAGTATGATCGCCTCTATTTATGGCTCCTCATTTTCAAACACTCGCCCACAAGGTCTACAAGTCAAACAAATGGTGCATGAGTCTGCATCAATGAGCGCGTCCATCGGCCTCTCGTTGCTTTTTGTTTTTCCGTGGCCCCCAAGGAGCGTTTAGCTGGAAGAGCTAAACGAACGCCGAGGCTTGTTGATTCAGCATGTAAATGATTAACATCTCCTTTTATCGTGCGGGGCAAAACGTGTACAAAAACACACACCGGCCGTGGCGCTGCATTGTTTTGGAGAGCTCACTTTTTATCTTCAAAAAGGCCGCGGCGGCCGCGCGCAGTGATGAATGGTCCGGCCAAGCTGTCAGCTCGGGGTGTTGGGGTACAAATTGTAAGTCAAAGTTAATTTAGATGGAATGCATCTCTTCTGAAATATTGTTATTTTTGACGATGCGTGTGAGAATCCGACAATGTAACCAATGCCGCCTCTCGCCCAGTCAGACATTTATTAACAAATGGAATTTTTCTTTTATAAATGTTTGCTCTTTTCCACAACAAAACGTGCCGCAGAATGTAGATTCATCATCAGATCCATCTTTTATTGTTTAATAAAAAAGAAAGAAATTCTATGAAGACATTGAAATTAATTTACGATAGTGAAAATTGATAATGTTTATGTTCAGTTAAGTATGGAAATTAAAAATTTGATTTGAAACATTAAAATTCTACAAAAATTGCATCTTCTTCTATAGGCTGAAGGCTGAGAGAGTAAAATTTATTATAATATAAATAAAAAATTATAAATATAATGTTTTTAAATTTATAATAATTATTTTCATTTTTTTCTTGAGGACAGAGTTTTTCATTTCTCTCTTTGTGATTTTTTTCCAATTTTTTTTAACCCATCCATTGGTGATGCTGCCTATTACGGCACTGGCAAAAGATTGATGGTCGAGCACGCACGCTAAAAGCGAATTTACAAGGGAACTCATATGTGCGTGGAGGGACATGTATAGGTACAATATTGTGTACTCTGGCTGCGCAAACTTTATTTAAGCTCGATCAACATTGCTCTCTCGCGCGCCTACGTATACAGATTGTTATGCCACGTCGCAACCCTCCGGAGCGTGCAAAACCATATTAAGCAAAGGGCCTCTCTCTCTCTATCCATCGCTGGCCATGTGTTTATTGTGTGTTCGGAGTCCATTATTGCCATTGTTGCCGAGTCAATATTGCAATCAAGTCGGCACTCTGCTGCGCTGATGTAGAATCTAGTAAGCACAAAACACATACGCCGCGGCCTCCGCAGAGTCGCCCCCGATATCGGTTTTGCTGGGTCGCTCTCCCCCTGCTTTCTTGGCGAAAAGCGGATAATCGATTTCCCAAAAGTAATGCAGAGCGTGAATCAATTTGAGGTGTTAGAAACGAAAACATTTTTTTCCAGCTTGAGCTATTTGTTTGTTCACTGAAAAAAAGACGCTCTAACTGACGAATGCAAGCAAAATGTGCGTCAATTGGAGTGCAAGAGAAATGAAAAAAGCAAACTTATCAATTAAACAAACCTTTCGTCGGCCGCGCGTCGAATCGGGACCAAACTGACTCAACCGGCGGTGTCGTCTCTCGCGGCTATCCTCGCTTCGGCCGTTTTGGCGACGATTTTCGGCCAAAATCCGCAAGCACAACAAACAACAACCATGCTTGATGAAACTACAGCTGATACTGATCATATGGTCTGAATATGGCGCATTTATCATATGTTTACAATGAAAAAGGCGGCAACAAGAGATGCAACTCGACAAAGTTAACAAAATGAAACTAATCAAAACTAATAAAATGCATTCGGATTTCTTGAAGTTTTCGATATTTGGGGGGCAATGAAGTGAAGATAAGTAGAATAATTGAGATAAAACTTTTTAGCAAACTAAAAAATGTAATAATTTTTTATTTTTCATTCTTCAAAAAATATTAATCTGGGAAAATTTATTAACGTATCCGCGAGAATTTTCTTATTTTAATTTTTAAAATAGAGAAAAAATTTTAAAAGTACTGACCCTTAAAGAAAATTTTAGCTTATTTAATTCTCTAAAATTTCTTTCATAGAGTTCAAGTCGTGATTTTTTTTTATTTACCCGCGGAATGGAACGACCAAAGTCAAAATATTATTTTTGCTTACTGAAAATAATTTTTTAGAATTTTTTGAACATGAAAATATTAGAAATAAAATTTTATCAAAAAAAATTCAGCAGTTTAGAAAAAAGAGCATCCGTTTTAAAAGTTAATTGCTACTCGGCCCTCGGCCTCTTCAGCAGATTCAGAAGACATCCTTTACTTTTTTGTAAGTAGCTAGATAAAGGTTCAAAATACAAATAATACTGATAAAATTTGATTTCTAGAATCAAAATTAAATTTCCTAACGATGGGCTATCTTCAATTCATTTTGTTAACTTTGTCGAGTTGGATCTCTTGTTGCCGCCTTTCTCATTGAAAACATATGATTAATGCGCCATATTCAGACCATATGATCAGTATCAGCTGTAGTTTCATCAAGCATGGTTGTTGTTTGTTGAGCTTGCGGATTTTGGCCGAAAATCGTCGCCAAAACGGCCGAGGCGAGGATAGCCGCGAGAGACGACACCGCCGGTTGAGTCAGCTTGATCACGATTCGACGCGCAACCGACGAAAGGTTTGTTTAATTAAGCTTGCTTTTTTCGATTCTCTTGCACTCCAATTGACGCACATTCGTCAGTTAGAGCGTCTTTTTTCAGTGTTGGGACCCAACAAACATGTTTAATTGATCCGTGGAAATCCTATATGAGCAAAAATTTTATAATTTAATAATTTTTTAAAGTTTGAAAATGAATTTATTATTCTTCAAAATCAACTGTTTTTTTTATCAATATTTTGCATTAGATTTAGAAAAAACCAACATTTTTTTTGGAAAAGCCAATGAAAAGGAGAATAAATTTTAATGTTTCTATTATTAACAAGTTACAATGAAACTTTATGTTAATTTAATTAGAAAAATAAGAAAAATTGTAATAAATTACTGGCAGACGTCTCTTCTCTATAAATAAAATAACACAAAGATGGCATATCCCGTGATGAATCTGAAATGACACTAAACCCCGAATAGGAAGGGTTACGCCGAGTCTGAATGAGAAATAATTTTCCCTGTGCTGGGACCACCTGGGCGATAAATTCGTGTGGTAATAATAAAATGTGGGCTCATCTGATTGCGTTATTAGCGCGTGATTATTGCCCGACGCGCATGGTGTGTGTATTCTTCCTACACAATAAAATATTAAATTTGTCCCTGCACTCAACAAAACATTAATCTTGGCACCCCTCATCCGAACTCAAATCGAGATTTTGATGCAGCCGCAAAGTCCGACGCGCAGCATGTGGTCGTCTCCTCTCTTCTTCATTATGCAACCGAGAAATGTTAGTTTTCTTAACGTCAACATCAATATTTCCATCTGGCAACACAATACGCGGCAAATTAACACAACACAGCACATTATTATTACCGTCATTGCTCTTTGATTGCGAGCCGCCTCTCACACAAGATATATTCGTTTTGTATATTTGGTTTTGAATGCGCGCAAGACTCGCTTTGTTGCTCACAAGTGTATGATCAGTGTGTTCCAGTCCAAGAGAAACAGATAATATATCATGCATGTGTATGTTTTCCAGAGTGATTTGTCATCCGAGCTAAATTAGAATTCAGGCGCGGATGATGACCAATTTGAGGGCTATTCAAAGCCGTTTCAGATTGATTTTTGAAAGATTATCACACAAAGGGTGAAATATTGCTGGTCCCTTTTGAAATGGATCCATATTTGGTTTGTACCTATACTATATAAAAGTACACAATAAAAACATTTAAAAATAAAAATTTTATCTTGCACTCTACATGGTTTCGAATATTTAACGAGCAGTGAAAATATTTTGATAAGAATAATTAAGTTGAGCAAGATTATTGTTTTTTCCCTAGAAGTCAATCAACGACTCTTAAAACCCACCAAGGAACTGTTATTTTTTAATTCAATCAACATAACTAAACCTTCAATGGTGATTAAATTTCTCAGAAAATTATGAAAAAAAAATCAATTTTGTTTAAAATTAAAAAAAATTTATATAATTCAATACCTTTTTATTTATAATTAACGAACACTATCTGAAGAATTTTAATTTGGTGGCCGTTGGTTGAAAGTGTGTCCCGTCGGCTAGGATCAGAGGCGAAACAGCGCATCCCCTTTTCGAATCGCAGCGGGTTGGCTCTGCGGAGGCTTTTTGACTTGCGTATCGCTCTCGGACCATCTGGCGAAGGAAAACATTCCATGACCGCTTTAATTACACGCCTATCATCGGCTGCTTTTCTACCACCTGAAATTTCCGACAAAAAGCATTGACAGCAAATTAATACTCTGAGAAAATATTTAATAGGTTCACACCTAACGCGCGCACTGCATGATTGATATTTCAAACGTTTGCTTTTGAACCGCGCGCGGCAGAAGTGTGAAGGGAAAAAATAATGTTCCCCACCGCGGCCGGCCGGCGCGATCAAACCTGAAAAACAAAGCGTTTGGTTCTGTGAGCCGCGTATTTTTATTTCCGTAAATTGAATGGATGCTTTTTCATTATTAATGCAAAGATTAAAAAAAGGATAAATCGTCACTTATAATGCGAATCTTTGAGGACAATTATATAAGAATACTAATTAGTAATTAATGAAATTATTTTTTTAAACATTTTAAATGCAGTTTGCAAAAATCATAAATGATTTATTCTTCAGTTAACATATCAATAGAAGAACAGGACTTGGATTAGGAAGTTTATTTCAATACATTATTATACATTTGAAATGAAGCAATTCCACACTTAAATTTATGTTAAAATTACTAAGTCCCAAAGGGCTTTGAAAGAAGAATGAAAATATAAATCTAAATTAAATTATATTAGAATAATAGTGTAACATAACAATCAAATAAAATATCATTTTAATTATACTTAAACTGAATTTCTATATTTCTAAATTATAAAAAAATTACATAAAATTTTATACATAATATATACAAATTTTACATTTTTTTTTTTTATATTAATTTAGATCATAAAAAGGTATTCTTCAAATATTTTTAAGTGAGCGTTTGTTATTTTTGTTCTAATTAGTGTGGAGTGTGGAGTAGTATTTTTGTTGCAGGGTTTCATTTTTAAAGAGTTTTTTTTACGTGTTTTTTTCCATTCTTTATAACCAAGTTTTTCTCCCACAGTTTCAGTAAAACCACGTAAAACCTCTTAAAAACCAAGCGAACCAAGCGATATATTCAGGTTATTAAGACAAAACAAACAAATTCTAATGAATTAGTCTGGAGATGATTTACAATATTCGCCGCTGGACGGATCATAAATTTTTTTGGCCTTCGGCGTTATTCCGCGCTGAGTGCGAGTCATAAAATTGGAGAGCAATAAGAAAAAAGGCGAGGATTTGGTCTGGTCTTTTCCGCCGCCGCCGCCGCAGCTTTTAATGCGTTTCTCGGCGAGTTCTGCGGTCAGGTGCGCGTCTCCCGACGGCAATAAATTTTTGACACGCTTTTTTCCCAATTTTATTGCCGCGCGAACCTTTTAGGCCGAATTACGAGCTTTCAGAGAACTATTATGCAAATACGCGAACAATTATTGTTGGTGGCGTAAATTATAATATATACGTGCTTTTATTAGTCATTACGATTACTTGCGCGCACCGACACGAATTCCTACACAGCAAAAAAAGACCCGGAGCGCGCGCCGCACGCCGCTGCTTCTTCAATCACGCGCGGTTTTCATCCTCCTGAAGACGTGAGTAATTTCAATATTGAGAAGAAGCTTCACCTTGATGTGCCGCCCGCTTTTGAGATGCATATTTAAAAAGATGCGTATAATGTGTGTTTGTATGGTAGAGAAGGTTAATTAGAGACAATTGCGAATTATGGACGATTGACAATCACTTAAAGGCTCATTATTTATTGTTCGGTGTGACGCGAAAAGCCTTTCAAAGTGATTAATGGCAATGGGACAAGGTGTCTGTTAGCCTTGTGTATAAGGAGACAATATTATACTTGCTGTTAAATTTATCTTTATAGTGCTTGTTAATTTTGCGCATCAAGTTCAATCAAATCTTGTTTTATTGCAATTTATTTCTTTTTAATGCATTACAGAAATCATGAGTGAAGAATGTTTTCAATCAATTGAAAAAGCTTTTTCAAATTAATAATCACCCCCCGCAGGTTATTAAAATAAAAAGGTATAAAAGGTAAAAAAAATTAAAAATTGTTAACTGTTGATCTTACTGATTTATATCAATATAATTATTCGCAACTCTTTTGTTTCTGAAACGTGATTTCATGTGAATTTGATGAAATGCAAAATGATTATTCTGTTTTCCTAATTTACTTTTCATTCATTACTTAAATCCTTTACAGCCCTCGAATTAAAGTTTTTTAAACATGCTTTAATTGTTTTACTTTTTTAATTAGCTATATTCGGCTGACAAATCTGCTTTTATTTCCACGTGATATTATTCTCCTTTACGGGCTGTGTTACATGCCTGGAATTCCATGAAATTATCTAAGAATGACGCGAGAGCGCACGAATAAGTCATGGGAAAGTCGATAATGAGAGTAATATTCATGCCTTTGTCCAAGGCAAATTCCTCCGCATCATATTGTAATACGCGCTCGGTGACCAAAGAGTGTGGCCTTTCTGGTCTGCGGGGAAAATGATCTCCATTGTGGATTTTAATGCATGGAATGGTCGATCTGACCGAGGTCACGCGGAACCTTTTCACGGAGGATGATAAGTGTGACAATCACCTTTAATCGGAGCATATTTTAGGGAGCAGGTGCAAAACCTTGAAATTGCAGTTTCCTTGAAAAAAATCTAACAATTATTTCTGCTTATACATCGCAACAAAGTTAATCAATCGAGAAGAATAAATAATAATTACAACAAAGTTAATTAATTCAATTAAATGAATCATAAGTTGACCTTCAACAGTTAAACATCTGTTGCAAATTGAGATTGTGAAAAAATAATTATTAAATTGGCACAAATGAAATTATTCAGAGCAACGGAAGGCGAATATTGTCAGTCAAGTGTGCAGGTTGCAAAAGTCGCAGAGAGCGCCTCCGTTTGGTTTGGAGCGCCTTTGTGCTTTTAACACATACACACGTGTGTGTATATAATATCTCATAACACAACAATAATGAATGGAATCGAAGAAATGCACCTTTTGTACTTCTGATCTATTCAAGCATCTTTTCCAATCTCATTGTGGCCGCATTATATTATGATTGTTGCTATCTTTTACGGCGTTAATGATTAATAGAAATAATAATTGGTTCTCACTGCGCCATTGTATGACCAAAGTCGCCGCGCTTGATTAAATGTCAAATTTTATACCAACAGCCGCACTCGCATTAAAACGAGAACTTTCCAATTATAAATTTTATTAGTCCGGCAGGCGCCGATATATCCACTAGTCATGATTTGTATTGTGCATGCACGCATAATTAAAGAGCCCGACCAAAGTCTCTTGTTATCGCGACCGCTTCCTAAATTCAAGGACTAATTAAAAATTTCAAACGGAAAATTAAATGAAAATTCTTGTCAAAAATTGCAAAAAAAATCGCAGATCGGTGAACT